TTTTTTTTTTTTTTGGAGAGATTTTCACTATAGGGCGCGTGCGCTCGCCAGAGAGAGACATAGAGACAGAAAGCAAGAAATCACCCCCCCAGGGAGGATGGCCACGCCGCAATCCCTTCTCCTCCATTCTCCTCTCGGGATCTTGGACACACACGCACACGCGGGTCCAGGACGCGAACCGAGGTCGACTACGTGGGAGTCCAGCGACATAGCCATTACGCTAACTGCTGGTTCCCCAAATGGGGGTTTCTTAAAGGTTAGTACAATGCAGAATCCAAAAACCCTATCAATGGATATTTGATACTTTCTGTGACATTAAGATTAATTAGTCTGGAGTGTTTTTCTTTGCTTTGCTTTGCTTTGCTTTGTTAGATAGAGAGCAATTTTGCTATAGGTTGTGTACACTTACTGGAGATACAGAGAGAGACAGAGAGAGAGAGAAGGTGAGAAATCACCTCCCAGATAAGATAGCCATGCTGCAATCCCTTCTCCTCCATTTTCTCTTGGGATTTTGGGCATGCAGACATATGCACTCAGCATGAATTGCAAGTTGCTGGGTCCAGGACTCGAACTGTGATCAGCTATTTGAGACTCCAGTATCTTAAACACTACAGCTGCTGGCCCAGTCTGGGATGTTTTTCAATACTAACAACCAATTCTCTGATTCTCTAGACACACACAGAGTATACTACAGTCTACTTAATCCTGCTGTAACTACCTGGGGCTAGACCCCATAGATAAGGACACCACCTCACAAGACTGCCTGCGCCTCAGGTGCTAGTTGCAAGTATTAGGTCCCCATGAATTGGATACATTTCTGTCCAACTTGGCTACAAATTAGGGATCCCCGTGACTCCCTACGTCAGGTTTGATAATTTGGTAGAACAGCTCATAGAGCTCAGGAAAACACTTGACTTGCATTTACTGATATATTATAAAGGATACAACTCAAGAACAGCCGAATGGAAAAGATGCATGGGGCAAGGTATGTGAGAGAAACGTGGAACTTCCATGCCCACTCTGGGGACACTACCCACCCAGTACCTGTTAGTGTTCATCAGCCTAGAGGCTCTCTGAACCCTGTTGTTTTGGATTTTTTATGGTAGCTTCCTCACACATGCATGACTTATTATTAACTAAATTACCATCCTCTTTCCTCTTTCCAAAGGATGGGGCATAGGGCTGAAAGTTCAGGCTTGTAATCAAGGCTTGATCATTTTGGCAAACAGTCCCTATTTGAAGCTATCTGGGGCCTATCAAAAGTAGCCTCATTAAAACAAAAACCAGCAGTTAGCGTAATAATGGCTATGTCACTGGACTCCCATGTAGTCGACCACCACTCGAGTCCAGGACTCAGTGGCTTAAGCTCACACTGGGCACGTGTACATGCGTGCCCAAGATCCCGAGAGGAGAATGGAGGAGAAGGGACTGCGGCGTGGCCATCCCCCCTGGGGGTGATTTCTCGCTTTCTGTCTCTCTGTCTCTCTCTGTCTCTCTGGCAGGCACACACACCCTGTAGCAAAAACCTCTCCCAAACAAAAACAAAAACACTCCTATCATTCAGGAATTGCAAGGGATTTGGGAGCTCTGTGTCTGTAACCAGGTCAAAGAATAAATAAGGATGTATATATATATATATATAATACACACACACACACACACATATCTTATTACGCCATATTGTGTTACTACATATTTTTTAATGGGACCAGCTGGCGGCACAATAGTAATGCGACACTCTGCAACACTAGACCCACATGGGACGTTCCCAGATTTGCATCCTAAGCCCTCCTCGTGCACACCAGGCACATGTGCTTGTGCCCGTGATTCAGGCTGGCTGAATCTGGGGGCAGATCATGGCACCAAGACCCTATTGAGGATGTTATCTCTGTGTGTGTGGGGGGGTCTCTCTAATGGGAGGAATAGCTTACAAAACTTTTTTTAAAAAATGGTTATTAGGGGACCAGCAGGTGTCATAGTGGTTAAGGTGCTGGACTCCCACATGGCTGACTGTGGTCCAAATCCCAGACCTGGCAGCTTGGTTTCTCATTTTCCTGCTCTCTTTCTCTCTCTTTGTCTCTGTCTCTGGTGAGCTCATATTCCCTGTAGCAAATCTTAAATAATAATAAATTAAATTAAATAAATTCTTTTTAAGAAATGGTGGTTAGTATCACCCATGATCTCATCATTTATATCTTTAAGTATTGGGATGCTCTGAAACTTGCAGTAATGGATCCAGGTTTTCCAAGGGTCTAAGTTTTCATTTGAAAGTCCAAATTTTATCACTGGCACAAATACTGTTAGTTGTTCTCCTTGAAATGATGGGTTCATTCTACCCATTTCAGAGGGACTGTCTACCAGACGCCCTAATCTGAATCACCACTGTTCGCCTGTCAGTTTTTCCTTCCGGATGGAGAAGAGCAGAGTAGCTGCTTGCTTTGCAGTTGTGCGGCCTATGTGGGGTGCCTCCAGACTACCCTCATCCCTGGGGGCGCAGCTTCTGGGCCTCTCCCCTCCAGCCCCGGGAAGGTGTCTGCTTCGTGGAGGGCGTTCTGCAGTGATACTGTCACTGGTCTGTTTGGGCTGCAAGTACACGGTGGTGGAGACATGACTGGTGCGGGATTGTTCCACTGCGGGGATCTGTGCTCAGCGTCGTCAGTTTTACCCGCCATTACTTTTGCACCATCAGAGCAGATGCCTAAACTGTTAAGACACATCACGTCCTAATATTACTATGACCTACTATTACTAGAACTTTGCCATTTTTTTTCATTTTGTCCCTGAAAGCACTGTGGCACTCCCCCAGACGTCTACAGATCATGCCTTGAGGACTGCTACTTTAGAAACTATAAAGCTATATAGTTTTAGCTTTATGGAAGTGATAAAGACTAAATACTTTCCTGGAAGCTCATTTACTGAAACAAAAAAGGAACTAGAACAATCTGGGAAAATTCCAAGAAAAATAGTTACTTAGTTGCCAATGTGTAAGCTTGCAGAAAGAACTGTATTTTAGAAATATTTTGAACAGTATTTTGGGAATGCAATAATAAATAATAATGATAACATTTTATGTTTATTGCAGAGTTTGCTCTTGGAGAAGAACTGTGCTCCCTGCACACCAAATGCATTCCTTCCAATTCTTTAATACCTTGTTCTGTGGTAAATGCGATACAGCATTCTCCATTTCCTAGATGAGGAAACTGGGGAACACAGAAATAATAACTCTACAAGGTCACAGCTACATGTGGTCAAGGAGGATCTGAATCCACGTGGTCTGATTCCCAGAGCTCAGACCCTTACACCCTGCCACATGCTACATCACATCCAAATTCTCATACTGCTTTGCTCCCATGTATGTGTGTGACTCCTCAAAGAGAAACCACAAGTCTCATCTTCACCTGAGTGCCTAAAGAAAGGGCTCACGTCCTTCATAAGGGTGAGAAGACCCAGGGAGCCACTTCGCCATCTCTAAACTGTAACGGGTAATAAAGATGTCAAAAGTGACATTCCCAGGGAATCCCATCAATATTATGTTTAACTCATAAGGGGAAGACAGAAACAAAAAAAAGAAAGAAAAACTAAAAAAGCTGGTTCCTTAAAAGCTTGATGGAAATTTTATGTGCGCATGAGCTGGTGAACACATGTGCTACACATACATCCATCTTATCTGCTGGCTGAGGAAGTATAGACCAATTTCGGCAGTTAACACACATGTAGGTTAGATACTAGTTTTCTATCTTCAGAGCAATAAACTCCCATATCTCTGGTACTGACGTCTCTCCCAGGCTCTAAAATCCTAAGACTTTACCCTTTTCTGCAGGTTAAGAACTTAAAACTCTCTGGGGCCATAACCTGGTCAGACCTTTATCAGTTGCCATTTGTTAATCCACTGTTAATCCACTTGTGTTGTGACAAATGGAGTTACATTCCCAAGGCAGCCAAGACAGGGACTCTTTAAAGAATAGAAGGTTCTTCTATTAGCAGGTAGGTTACTTAGGAAATGCTGGGAGGTACCCCAAAACCAAGCAATTTGTTTTTTCCCATGTTTGTGTTTTGTTCTTTTTTCTAAGAAATAATTTAATTTTTACTTTTATTTGCATTTTTCCAAGTTGGGTTCGGTTCAGCTTTGGCCTTTTTTTTTTTTTTAAGTTTGGCATTTAAAAACGTGTATATATATATATATATATATATACACACACACATACATACACAGAGAAATAGAGACAGTATAAATACATATATATTAATATTTGTTTGATTTTCATTTGTCCAAGTTTGGGTTCTGTTTTGACCTTTTTTAAGTTTTATGTTTGCGTGTCTTTGCATTTTCCTAAGTTTGGGATTATTTCTCTTACCCTCAAACACCAAAGCTGTCTTCTGGGACGTCTGGACCAGGTCCAGGGTGACCGCTAGTCCCTGATGCAGGCGCACAGGCCGGCGCGGGACCGGCTCTCCGACCTCCCCGCCACCCGGCGGCGCGCCCGGGCGGGGACGGCGGCGGGGACGCGCGGG